GGGAGGATCTTTTGGTGTTTTATTACAGTATCTTGTTAAAATGTAAACTGTATTTCTCAATAAATATACATAAGTATGTTCATAAATATAAAAGGGAATCGAATTGACTCACTTGATTTCCTCAAGGGCTTTGGGGAATTTATGTATATTTGTAATTACGTGTTTGTACGTCTACGTGTGCTTCTGCGTTTCTTCCAATTTCTGTCCTTTCTTAGGATTTTGTGTGTGCTAGGTGTTGCTTTTGTGGTGTTTTTTGTAGCTCCGCGCCGAATGTATATTTGTATATATATTAAATTTGTTGTTAGGATCGCGCCCGTTTTGTTTTTATTGTTGTTATTTAAATGTAATTTAAGCTTTTATCTCTTTTTTTTTTTTTTTTTTTTTTTTTGTTTTTGTTTGGTTTTGTACACCATTTTTAGCCACTCTTTATTTTTTTTGTCAATATGCACATAAGGGTTTTTTTTTTTGTTCTATTTTTTATTATTATTATTATTTTTTTTTCTCGGAAAACACAGTGCATATATGTATAAAAAAAAAAAGCCTTTTGTATATTCAATTCACAATTCACAGCACTTTGGATGTTTTTTGTTTTTCCTTTTTGTTTGTTAAACACAGCACTGCGATTGTTCTTCTCTTTAGATAGCTATTTTTTTTTTTTTTCACTGTTCCACTCCACTTGCGTTTTGTTCACTTTATACATATAGCCTTTTTTTTTTTTTAAATGTTTTTTCCTTCCATAGTGCCTCTCACTATCCGGCTCGAAGGACCATATATAATTTTATTCCAACCTCTTGGAATTAAATCACACTCACCACTTCCTTTGTGTTAAAAATGCAACAGTTTTATTAATTTTTTGTTTTAAAATATTAAACGCCACTCAATAAAACCAAAACACTTGCGACGCAGCGCAAAGAAAATGTATAAAAAATGTAAATGTGTACAGAGAAAAAATGGATTGTCCGGCTCAGGTCCGCTGATGTATTATATTGCGACGGGAATACAACGTTGACGAGGTGTCCGCTTCGACTTCGATCCGCAAAAGAGTGCCGCCGCTTCGAGTGTCCGTGGTTTTTGTTGATGGTTGGTGGGGTGATCGCCTGGTGTGTTGTGTATCCTGGGTGGTAGTGTCGTTGTGTGAGGTGTATGTTGCGTGAGGTGAGGTGGTGAATGTTGCGAGAGGTGATGTGGTGAATGTTGCGTGTCAGTGATGTGTGAGGTGTGTTGGTGTAGGTTTTCGGGACGACGTAGGCTCATTTAGCCACTAGTAGCTCTGTTTTTTCGGTAGCGAGCTGTAGGTTAAGTATGTCAAGCCATGCTTGCGTCCGTATCATGACCTGGTTTAGTCTTCTTCGCGTATCTTCTGTGTCTCGGGCTGTAATCACCACGGCGATGTCATCCGCGTAGCCAATTAGATAAGATTCGTCTGGCATGTCGAGTTTTAATATGACATCGTAGCTGATGTTCCACAAGTCTGGGCCTAAAATGGATCCTTGTGCTGCTCCAGGCGTAACCGCTATCTGCCGTGACGACACTGCCCTGAGGTAGTCGGGGATTCTGAAGCTTCTTTCGAGAGCGTCGATCATGTCCACCCATCTAGCGCAGTTGAAGGCATTTCGGAAATCTAAGGTCGCGAACAGAACTATTATTTTGTACTTATGACATCTGCGCTGTGCGGCTTCTACACTTTCAATGACGCATCTGATAGCTCCTAAAGTTGACCTGCCGGGTCTAAATCCATGTTCTCTAGGGCAGAGTCCTCCAGCTTAGTTGACAGCTGCTTCGAGTCTGGGTTTAAGTAGTCTTTCGTAAAGCTTTCCCGCTATGTCGAGTATGCATAGTGGACGTTATGGTGATGGCAAGTTGGGATCTCCTTTTCCCTTACTGATTAGGACCAGCCGTTATTTTTTCCGGAGTTCAGGGAATATTCCGGCTTCGAGGGAGGCGTTGTACATGTTCAGAAGTATTGCCGACCGCTCTGCAGCGATTATCTAAAGAATTTCTGCTGGGATTCCATCCGGGCCGGGTGATTTGTTCGTCTTAAACTTGTCTGCGGCCAATTGCAGCTCTTCGAGTGTGAACTGGGGGATTTGGGAAAGGCTTATGGTCTGTTCTGGATCGCTACGCCTTTTTTCGTGTGTACGAAACATTGCGTTTACGATGGGGTCTATTTTGACAGCGGTTAAGTTAGGTGGCTTAGCTCGGACTCCGAGTTTTTTCATTACTATTTTATACCCGAGTCTCCAGAGGATTTTGTTAACATCTTCGCGTAGTTCCTCCCATTTCTTCTTTTTACTCTCATCGATGGCATGCTTAAGTTCCTTTTTCGCCGGCTTCCTGGGGTGCGGCTCCTCTGCGCCTGGATCTCGTATACGACCTGCAAGAAGACATGTGCGTCTAAGTTGGGCGATATTTTCTGTCCACCAATAAACTGCCGCTTTGTGTTTGCTGTGGGAAGCTTTAGGCATTGATTTGTTACAAGCTCTTGTTATATTAGGCATTGCGTGCTCGACAAATGGCCCTCTATAGGCCTAGCTGTGTCTTCAATGTCGTTGAGCTTTTCCTGGAATTCGTGTATGCTATCGCTTGGTGTCAAGTAGCAGCTTATTATTGTGAAAAGGTCGCAACTGGCCCAGACGAAACTGTTGCTGTTCCCTTTACCTGTGATGGTGATTTTACTTCTTGGGGGTAGGCATATAGCGGCGGTTGAGCTGCTATCTTCTAGCCAGGTTCCACTCTCTTTTTTCCTGCATTGTTCGGTTATGATGATTAAATCGTAGCCGTTCTCCATCACCATCTGGGAGAGTAGTGCGTCAGCAGCCTTGCCCTCTTCTATCATGTCCTTTGCAGTCCCAAGATAGGTGTGCTGGTCCGTCCCAGCGGAAGCTTCCCTTTGCGTTTTCTTTGAGTCGCAGTCTACAGTAAACTCAGCCAATTTTGATGCGAGTCTGCCGCATCAGCGCTTCTGCTTTCTCTATATGGAGCGTTATGTACGCCCTTACCTGCTCTCTTGTGTTAGCTGATGTTAAGTTTATCTTGATGTTTTCGTTAAAGTCTTGAATCGCCTCTTTTACAGCCTCTTTGACTTCCTCTTTTGTTGTGAGGTAGTCGAGGTCTCTGATCTCAATGATCGTCTTTGGTTTAAGGTCGGTCACAAATGCAATTTCTCGAAGGGTGCTTTTGAGTGCCCCACAGAAGCTGGCCTTTGTATTTTGCCCCTTTTCCAGTTCTAGAAGTATCGACCCGACTCTTGTTTTGCGGATCCCTTTGATCTTAACATCTGCTTCTTTAAGATTCACTTTGCTTTGGATATTCTTTATGACTTCGGCGTAGCTATTACCTTTTGTTGGTTTAATGATGACGGCCTTTGATTGCCGCTTGATCCTGTTATTTGTTTTTAGATTTGCAGCTGTGTTCTTTCTCTGTGAACTTACTTCTACCTATTTAGGTGCTTCCGTAACATTTCTTCAATCGGCTTGGGGTTTTTTCTTTCTTTTACTCAAAAGTTTTTGCCACTCGCCGTCCTTTTCGTTTCGTCGTAGCGCTGTTTCCCGAGGTTTCACAGGGTTTTTCGCGCGTCGCTTATAGATTGTTGACTCTGGGGTTGCGATACGTACCAAGTACCCATTATCGGGGATATATTGACCCTAGCTCAAACATACTTTATGTAAAAAACTCAGACTTCCGTTTGGCTTTATATAAACATAAAATATTAGATATACAATAGTTTAATACCGAAAATGTGTGAAATCGGTCCACGAATTTCCCCAGCTCACGTGTACTACTTATGGTATAATTGTTTTCGTTAATTTGATAATTCATTGCAATTATTTATTTGACTAGGCATCTTCACGAAATTAGATCTGAATCAAGTTATTGTAAGAAACCTTTGTATCTGTGAAGGGTATTATAGCTTCGGTACAACCGAAGTTAACGTTTTTTCTTGTTTTGAAAGATAATTTATGTATATTGATGTATATATCAATTTATATTTAACTTTTGAAAAATTCATCTACCGTAGTCTGTCGCAATTTTTCCTGTTTTGGTTTTATAAAATAATTTTCAAGATATCATTATAAAGTTTTGGCGCATTGGAATCCAATAGGGTCGTCACTAAAAAATTTTTTATGCGACGAAGTTGCTCGAATGCTTCAGGATATGACTTAATTTGCCCTTCATCCTGAACACGTACTTTATTTAAGGGTTTATTCTGGTTTAGAAGCCCGAATTTTAGTTTCTTTTTCGGACCCGATAAAAAAATTATACATATTTTTTAAATTTTTTTATATGTTTTTTATTGATATTTGAAGAATACAAATCATTTATAATATAAAATTCCAGTCCTGGTGTGCAGGATATCAGGACTCCCAGTAACCCGAAATGGAAATTTTTGAGTGATCCTTAAAGAGGATGGATATAGTTATAGCCCTACGAGAGGATTTTGGAAAAAAAAATTTCACATATTGAATGTATGAAAATTTCGTTATTTCAGGTTTTTTTGCCGTTTTGAATTTTTTAAATATATAAAATTATTTTTTTCAAAAATACTCTCGTAGTGCGATAGTAGATAGTGTATAAAAAAGCTCTGTATAAAATTTCAAGTAAATCGAATGAGTAGAACTTGAGATATCATGCACACCGTTTCTAGAAAAGTAATTCAGAGAAAAACGACTTTAAAGCTCGCGCCGAGCTGCCAGTCGCTTTTGTCGGTGCATCACAAAGTAAGCTGTAACTCCGAAAATAATTGAAATTTCAAAATATCTTTTTAGAGACCTATTCTTAAAGGGTTATACTCAATAATAAGCACAAGAAAATCGATTTATTTTTAATTTCTAAACCAGAATACCCCCTTAAGTCTTCGGTTTTTTCGTCAGACATTTCATCAGTATCAATTCCGGCAACAATAATATCAATATTATTGCCTTCTGTATTAAGAACTTCGTCGATTAAGAAAAATTCTTTCAATTTTCCTCTTCTGGGAGCCCATTTTTTTATTAAGCATAAGTAGAAACTAACTAGCACATAATTTCACGTGTCATCCAAGCTTTTTGAATTGTGTTCCATTTCACTGGCAAGCTTTTTGTATCGAAATTGTTAAACGCGCGTGTTCGGGCTCCGATCACTAATGACTTTTCTTTATCGCCGATCATATTGGCACACAATAGCACAGTTAGCATTTCTTTCGATAACTTACATTAACAT